TTACACATTTGCACTCACAAAATTGGTTGGTAAATTCAACGAGTGGGTGCATCGACCTGGTATATCAAGTTTCTGCAATTTTTTACGGCAAATCAGTAGATTTTCGGGATGTAGATTGCTTACTTTCAATTCATGAATGAATAAAGCAACGACATGGTTGAACTTCTTTGCATGGAAAGACGTTTAAAATAACAAAATCAAGACGTATTTAATGCAATTGCATTTATATCGAGTCAATTTCTTTTCAATAATATAACGGGATTTTTACTACCGGTGATTTGGGTATTTTAGCCCCAAAATACCTTTAAATCGACTTTATCTTCTAGGAGTTCGACAGAATTTTTCCTTTCTTCGCTTAAATTATTCCGTAGCACTTTTCTTCAAGAATCTGATAAGATTTTGCTTGAGGCAGATCAAAAAACTTAAATTCGATCGAATAGCTTTCTACTTTCACAATACACGGTCTCGTCAAGGTGCGTCTTTGACCTCGCAGTGTTGGATCGTGAATTCTCTTTTTATGCTGTTTGCCTATTTTGAAATCTCTGTAAATGAAAACTAAAGGGGTTGATATGTGCGAGTTAATGACGCGCCTTATCAACACATTGTGTTGGAGTTCACTGCTTGTTTTTTTTTTTTTTTATTGTATATCAGTATTGTACATAGTTAATACATAGTTAATATGTTTAATTAAATGAGTAAAATTAAAATTAGATTAGAATAGAATTAAATCATCTACTAGTTAGTTAATAATAACTTAGTTATTAAGAGAGTATTTACATGTATTATTAATTAAACATTTTGATAATAAAAGTAATTGAAATAGATTTGATTTTTTGCTATTAGTTACAGATTCCTTAAATATTTATGTACCTGTGATCCGAGACACGCCGGAATTACCCGAAGGTATATCATCGGCCGGGAGTTGGTTGGCTTCTACTATCGTTCTATCATGTCTTCTACTATTATATACACTACTTTTAACAGTTAAAATTTTTTTAATGTAATTATGCACTATCTTCCACTTAATCTTGCTACTTATCATCTCTTTCACAATATTGTCTGGTTTTAAATTAATTTTCAGTTCGGCTTCAATCCTCATTCTATCGGCTGTGAATCTTGAGCACTCAAAGAAGGTATGTTCCGGCGTGTCCCGGGTCACAGGCCTTCATCGATGCCTCCGCGAATAAAGTGAGGGCCCAGAAATGCAGGCAACCTATGAATTTCAAATGTCCAGAGTGATTTACGAATACAATTTTTACGAACCGTCGTTTATAAAGCATGTGATTGGCTTACTTTTTGTATAATTTTACTTATTTTTGCGAAAGAACGCTCATTAATGTACTTTCTTGGCCATCTTGGTTAGAATTGAAATCTGTAGGCTGGCAGTGAAATTCCGTGTGCCAGAAGTTGCTCAGAAGGGTGGCTGCACTTTTGGGCCCTAAGCTCTCCATCAAGCGATCTGTCCATACTCTCGCTATAAAGGTACTCTAGTTGCATCTAGGGCAAATAGTCAAATCAGGCATTTTATCAAATGGACGTATTTCTATGCCAGCTTCCGGAGGATTTCTACCATGACGGATTCCTGTGGAGAGTAGGCGTCGCAGAGCGCCGTAAATGCGGCTCATACATACATACATACGTATTTCTATCAAACGGAACTAAGCGCCATAAGTGGTGGAAGAGAGAGGGGGGGCTTGGGTTGGCGGGTGTTGCGGAACGCGATGCTCGTTCCGTCTTATACTCGCAATGCTTTTTAATGCTTTTTAATTTTAATTAGCGCTTAGTTCTGTTTGACAGAGCGCACTATCCGGGATTCTAAAATCCTCAAAAGGAACTTAATTTGGCGCTAAGTTCCGTTTAATAGAAATACGTCCATATGTCGAAGGCAATCAGGCAAATCAGGCATTTTAGCAAATGCCTAGGCAGATGATCAAAATTTCAGTGCTTACGAGATTTCTTATGTTTTCACAAATACCTCTCTAATTTTCAATATTTTGAGACTAAAATTCCGTCAAAGCACAAACTGTCAGTTTATTTCCCGTTCAAAAATGCTCCTCATAATCCTTCAACCGCCTAAATTGTGAAACATTTTTATTTTACGAAATGCTGCATTTTTAGATGAATTTTCATTCAAGGACTAGAAAAAACGTATTTATAGTCGTACGGAACACGTTTTCAGAGGAAATTCATTGCCACATGATCAGAGAATTATTTTGTCTACAGTCAGCAAAATAATCAGAGTTTCAGTCTACGTAAGAATATTTAGACGTATTTCTGTCAAACGGAACTAAGCGCCAATTTGAGTTCCTTTCGAGGAATTCAGAATGCCGGATAGCGCGTTCTGTCAAACGGAACTAAGCGCCTTGGAAAAGCATTGCGAGTATAGGACGAAATAAGCCCAACGCCCGGTTCCGCCGCCAATCTAAAACCCCTCTATACCTACCTCCCCCTATGGCGCTTAGTTCCGTTTGACAGAAATACGTCCATTTAACTATTTGCCTAGGCATTTCACAAAAATGCCTGATTTGACTATTTGCCGTCGACATATATATTGATAAATGAAAATGATAAAAACGTTAGCCAAAGATGCATAATTTTTCTTATAATTTTATCTCTTTCAGGTGCTAATGCTAATCTCTTGACTTTTCCTGGAGCTTCAGGAGAAATTCAGTGGCGTGGCGTGCTTTGCGATATATCGATTGATACGCCACTCAAACCTATGAAAAAAGATCGATTATCAGGGTGTTCGCATCGAACACCTTAGTAATCGATTCTTTACCATAGCTTCAAACGGTGATATATCGATAATCGATTATTCACGCCACGCCACTGAAGAAATTGCGAACAAAATTATCTAAAAATGGAAAGGAAAATAGTCATAAGTTTACCAGGAAATTCACGTTTTATCAAAGTAAATTTGGCAACACCTTAAGGTTCATACGGCGTTTTTCCTTAGCACGGCAGTATGAACGTTGAAAAGTACGAAGCTTCATCCAGCGTTCCTCGTGGTCGCAAAAAAATAAGCTCGGCGTAAAAAAGAGGGAAAGAAAAGAAAGCGGAATCGGGGCTGTAATTTCATCCCGATTCAATGTTTTCAGGGCGCATAATTGAAATTGGGAGAGGCGCGCCATGTTGCCGCTATTCAGGTCGATGAAAAAAACGAAGATCCCCCATATATTTCCCATCTATTTTCGAAGATATTAGATAGAATAGTGTCGTAGCGGCAACTTGGAACGTGAACTGCTTGCTGCGGCGAGCTCTTCAAATCTGGAACGCTCTATTTATCGTCTACTCGGAGGAATAAAACTCCACATACTGATTCGAGGTTGCGGAGTTTGATGCGCGAATCGTCCTTCTCGGAATGAAGTTATTGGGGGAGAGCCGATAGTGTTCGATACTTGGCAGCCCCGAAGTGCTGTTTCCC